GCTGTACAAAGTATGATGTACACTTTAATACATTGATTAATAATATTGCCACTATATATTTGAACTTATGTTTTCGATATCGAAGAAATCTCGTAAATGCTCGTCAAGATTTATTTTTTCTTATTTTTACTTCAGATTCGACTACTTCGAAATTAATAACAAAAATTATTTTGCACGCATTTTTTTTTTACATATTCCGTCGTATTTATTTATAATTCAGTTTATGCTACATGCATTATGTACAAAAAGAATAATTAAACGTGGCGACATTTGGCATGTATTAACGATCTCTCGATGAAAAAACCAGGGAGAACTTATCGATAATGTCCTTGATAAATAATGGTAGTACACGTATCCCGTATATACACTTGTTTGCACAGATAATAACGCATTTTTGAAGCAAGTATCGAACTGTGTATGTACAGAATAAATTCCACACTTTCATCCGTAAACAGTGTCGAATCTTTCAATGCTATGGCAATAAAATACAAGGAAACAATTAAACAATTACCATCTGTTTCTTCCAATTTTATAATTATTTTCATCAAATACCACTTTCGATGTTATTCAATCGTAATCACACAAACTGTAATCATAAACTGTCTGCTCATCAGACAAAGGCAATTCTTGCACAGGTTCACATTCTGAAGAGTTCAAGTACGTTCCGTATCCTCCCGTGTCGCGATTAAATATTTTAAATAACCCCGAGATATAATATTCACCTGTCGATGGTTTTTAGAAGTTAGAACGTCGGCGATTGTCAACACAGATTACATTTTATTCGATAACACTTGTTCAATATTTTATAATCAGACATCAGACTTCATATGCATGAAGAATATTTCTTGCGAATAATATTCCATATGCATCTGCTTTCTGATAATTCGTTATTGGTAATTGGTAATCTGCTAAGATTTTTTTTGTCGCTTATACATATATACTAATATTAATGTACAGAGGCCCTTAAATAATGTTTCCCCAAGAACAATTAATCTCCGTGTACGTTGGAAACAACATTTCTTTGTGCACTTCACTGAAAGTGTCAATTATCAGCGCCGTTGCATTAATTCGATTTACTTTGAAAAGAAGTTCATCAATAGAAGTACATGGGTAAACGACAACTTTGCAACGATTTCTTGCCACACAAGATTTTTCTGTCACTCTATATACTCAGGTACGATTTGAGATTAACAAATTGGAATGCCCGATAATTGCATTTGCAATAATACACTTGGGATCTAACGTCTTTAAACGCGAAGGCCCTGAAAAAAGCATACGAAATAGTCCATCAATGCGTACCATTGTCAGATTCAGTATAAAGAAATAAATTGTCGTTGAAAAACGACACGTTTGATCAAATACAATGGCGACCAGGAGGGGTACGTCGATGTACATTTCTTTAGAAGACAAATATGACAAACCAGTGTGGACTCTCGTCTACAAATACGTATTAATCTCTTGCGATGTTCTCCGATTTAATTTTATCGTAAGAGCGACTATACACGTTGCCTTTGTTATACTAATGCATCGCGTCGTTCAAATCCTTCTTTAGAAAATGTAACGGATTTGTAAGTCAAAATGGCCGTACTCGCAATTTGGTCCAACTGGTACTCGAATATAAGGGCATCGGAGTTAAAATCTGCCAATCGTGACCAATCGTCTGCACGCCTTGTACGCGAATTTACAATTCATATATCTATACATGAAATATATAGAATGTACCAAAGTGAGCGTTGTTCTGATACAAATCTTACGTCATCGCCTTCAATGAAATTTAACGTTGGAAAAGGAAGATCTCAGAAAAAAAAAAGAAATTCGAAATTAATTGATATTAAGATATTCTAGTGTACGCTTGATAATATTAGTATAGATTTGATGTATAATAACAATATTATCCATCGATTTGTATACTCATTTTGGAACAGGTTCTCCTTAGTAACAGACGCAGCTATATTTATTCTTCTTTAACAAGTGATTTAAATAAGAAACGTTTCATTAATGGTACAAATACCAATACTAGAAACGACGTTCGTTATACAAAATTACTAAGTACTCCCTTATGAAACTATGGGTCCTAGACATCCTTCATCGCGGTAAGAAAAATTAAGCGTACGTCTAACTGCCTCTGATATTTAAAATATTATGTGCATAGTTATATGTATATGTATACGTGCCTCTCCCCATACACGGTATAATGAATAACTTCGTAAACATTAACGTCTTTGCATTTATTTTCTTCGTTGAAACGCCGGTAAATGTACTTTAAATGTTAAACAATAAAAAGGAAATGTTGCATACGTATGTATAACGTGTATTATTTGAATCCGATCACGGTAGAAACAAGTCCAAAACTGCCAATGCTTAGTATTCTATGCATAACCTAACTTAACACTGCCCTTTACGTGTAATTATTACCAGATTGCAAATGTTCATGTAAATGCATATTTTATACGCATTATATACGCAAGATATATGCAAAATGCGTAGATGTCAATAGCCATCGTCAAAATCATCGTAGCCGTTTCCGTCACAGTTACAGTCAGTTACAATCGTTATAGTTACCGTCACGATTGTAATCATCGTCATAGTCATGCAATAAAATACTATACATGTCCATACCCTTATTCTATCATATTATTTTATATACATTGCACATACCGAGTACTTGCACAGTATGCATATTTTAAGTGCATGAAAGACATACGCTTTTCTCCCACCTAACCTACACGAACATCTGCAGTCTAATTATTACCCCTTGATGTATTCATCAGCGTTATATTAATTTCGTCTACGTTATGCTACTACGTTTACTTTCAAAGGTTCGAACCTATTAGCAGGTAACACTACTATCACGGGCGACATTTGGCTCTGTAATTTCTCGTAAAACTTGCCATTACATCTTTTCTCTTATTTCCCGCGCGTCAACGCGATACAACCAAACCGACAGACAAGAATATCCGCGTGTCTTCACTTGTACTTTTCTTTTTATTTTTTTCGTTTACAACACTGCGAATTCGAAAACAACCGCGCGAACAGTACCACGCCCTCCTCCCTCGCAGCGAAACATTCAAATATTATCGTCGATAAGAAAAATACGTATTCTTTCATTTTTATTATTATTATTTATCGTACAAGCTCGTGAAACGTCGACGTCGCAAATGGAGACCGCGGATGCTCTTCGTAAAAGACGGGGAAACGTTCGAAAGTATGATATTAAACGAGTATTTTAACGCACAAGCAAACGATCGTTACTTCGCTTCTGTAAGTGAGAAAATTTGTTTTGAATGAGCGACGCAGAACAAGATTTACATAGATTATACCGCAACGTAGATAATCACAATTCTCTCGGTCTTAAATAAAATTTACATATGAAATTCGAGTTATGTACATGATGAAACCTCGTTAAGATTGCTACACCATAAATTCGTATGAATTAAATAGCAAAAATTCACTTCAAAAGATCAATAGAATTGAAATTATTGACAATTGTTTCAGAGTTTGATGAATCAACTGCAGACTGCATTGTCTAGATTGGTACAGATTTTAATACCTCAGCCTTATTAATTTTTCCTACAGTATGTATAATATATATATGCATACGAATATGTATATATGTATATGCATTTTAAAATGTAAAATACTTGACTGTGTTCTTCATTTTTCGTACAATTACACTTTATTATTTACGCATGTACATGCGTGTATTCTCTAGTACAGTGTACCAATGCTGTACATAACAAAGACTCACTGTATATCGTAGTGCGCAATGTCATTTTACCATTTTTATGTATAGTGTTACTTCTCGTATGTTCGGTATATTTTTTTTTACATCGTTCAGTGACTGGTATATAATTATATAACAATTTTAAAAATATTTCAGAAATAAACAAGAAATAATAAAATGACTATAATAAATGATAGCAGCTTAGAACGTAGTAAAAATACATTACTGCGGATGATGATGATGATGATAATAATAATAATAGTAATAATAATAAAAAAAAACTTACGAAGAAAACAGTAGGTGCAAATAAGGGGTTTGATTAAGTGCGTATTTTTTTTTTATACACGGAGAGGTGGATTCGGAGGAAGGAGTTAGGAAGAGAATTATATGCAGTGAAGAAAATGCCAGTAGAGTAGCCGCCACTTTACTTTACTTCTGTTTTCCTAGATCACAGTCACATGTATGGCTGCTAAGTCACGGAACATATTTCATCACCATTTTTAACAAAAAAAAAGAAAAAAAAAAGAAAAAAAATGTAATAAAGGAAGAAAATATGAAAGTACTTTCAAAATCTTATCAATACTGGAAAATAGTTCACTAGTTTACACAAGTACAAAATATAATATTTCACTTAAATTCTTTGAGAGGGGCAAGTGCGAGAGACACCCGATCCCTGATAAGATCTCTTCCTGTACGTACAAAACTATTATAGGCAATAATTTAATCGATCATGAAATTAACTAACACATGTTAAAAGTATCTTCTAACATCCATGATTTACAGACTGAAATATACGAAATTTTTCATTAAAAACGATTACTTTCGGTTGATTATTATCTGTCTCTTTATATTAGTTGTACGTAACAAATTAAATTATACAGCTAACATAAAATATACATTGCGGAAATTGAAACTCTAAAATAAAGATATATGGTATCTAAAATATTTTTCATAATAAAATAATATACTTACAAAAAAATGTTGAATACCTTCAGGTCAAGATAACTTGTGCTTCAATACAATCTATAACATCAGTTAAAAAAGTTTTTGTTTAAATGGAACCTAGTATACTGAAAAAATTGCAAGTTAAAAGTGCAATCAGGCTGTCGTTTACGTATGATTGTCAAGTCTTAACGCAGCAATTTAAAAATATTATGTATAATAAAATAGATGTGATGAAGCATCTTGCAAAAACAAAATGGAGGAATATCTTACGAACTATTAATGAGAATATTATCATTTAAAAGGTATAATATTTTCTAACAAGTTTCACTGATGAGCGTCTGAATATGAACATTAAATTATATTTTTACATAATAAATACAGTTTTAGAAAAAGACCGTTTAGAGGAAAATAATCCCTCTCTTCTCGTATTTTTTTTCACAGAAGTGATCAGTGCAGATTTCAAGTGTCTCTTCTCTTAAGTTATTGCTTGCCACCGGTGCGTTTAACGCTCCATAAAAAATAATAAATCGAGAAATGGTAAGAGGTTAATATAATTATATTATATACAAATAATAATATCCTAACACTTTAGGAAAGGGTTAACTTTGGAGGAGGGTGGGGGGACCGTCCCGTGTGCAAGAGTCCACGACATACGAAGGCCCACAATTTGTAATTGTTTTATCCTAATCCTGCCTGCGCTTTCAATATAATTATTATTCTACAAATTACAATGCTATATTCTACCACTTCGGGTGTACCCTAAATTTGATAATATATACTCAGTTAGTGTATTGTATTTTTTTTCTATTTACAAAATATGTAGAATAGACATTGTTCCTATCCTAACTACAATATGCGTGCCGTGGCGCGAGACTTTAAACCTTTCAAGGTGCGCTTTTCATAAACATATCACTAATTACATAATCTATTTTACAGCCAAATTCAACAATCTCTACTAAAATTCAACGCATTACCAAACATGATCTGAAATTATCTGTAACATAAAAATAATAATTTTATCGATAAAATGCGTTAAAATAAATGGAATACAATATATAATTTGCATGATGAACAACGAGTTCCATTAAAAAGCGTAGTAACAAAATTCAAATCCCAACAACCTATTCAATAAATTTGAAGTTCTCTAGAGAACTCTTCTCGACATTAATTTCCTATCTCGATGTTCGGTGTATTAACATTAAATTTGCAAATATATTTCACCTATGTTTAATTATACGCATTCGACAACGGGGCTAAAGATAAAAACAAATAAATTTGTCAGGGGCCAAAAAAAATTAATAAAAAAAAAAAGATACGGCCTATATAAAACCGCTTACAACTAAATTGGTCAAGAAAAAAAAAAATAATAAAAAGAACAAGTCGACCAATTTTAAAATATTTATAAAATGCACACGAACGCGTTGAATTTCAGCAGAGTTCTAAAAACAGTAGATAAGTACTTTCGAGAATATTGGAAACATATTAGATATTATCTATATCAAGTGGTGTCTAACAATTAATTCTTTACTATTCGAGGGACTTATTACGCATGCATTCCCTTGTTTGTCGCCGCACAATGGCACGATTTTTATCTCCACTGTTATAATCTATGAATCACCAAAGAATGCTTCCGTCTTAAAATTTTCAGACATAGCATCATAGATACTTTAAACTCTCCAGATATCTCCCATTCCAAGTCATGCCATAGTATATACAAGTAAAATAAACATATCTGTTACTGCATTACATAAATTTTGTGCAATATTTATCGCAGTTTTCATTCTATAGTTTTTCTTTTTCATCTATATCATATATAAAGTATAACTAAAGTATATAAACTCTGATTTCATTTTATAATGCTTCATTAATTCTAATACTCTCTAATTACGATTTTCTCTTCCTCTTTCTTTCAAACATACCCAGACACATCCTACACATGCGCGCAACTTCATTATCCTATATCATGCATACTCTCTTTCTTTCTACCTGGATCTCATAACATTTTTAACAATGTTTAACAATGGCTTAGGCCTTTCATAATCCTGCCAAGGTGTTTCGATGTACAAATATCGGTCATGCATTTGCAATTGTACAAGTAAGTATGAATTGTGATTCCATACTGTAGTAAAATAATTTCCATACTTCTTTACACTTTACCCGTTCATAAATCATCTTTGGATTTAGAATGCAGAATAGTATTGTCTTTCCTTCTGATAGAAAGCTCTTCCTTTTTCGAATTACATATCTCGAAACCGTTGCTATGTGATTATATTATTTGTTTTTCATTTTGTTATCAAACAATATAATATGATTAAGCTTGTTAGTTGAGCTTCTAACTGCCTAATGAGCGTTATCATTGCTAAAATACAGTAAATTCTTTACTACGCGAACATTTCACAATTTTACATATCATTATCCAATGGAACACAGATATCCGAACACGCGACATTAAGTCAACATTAGCAATGTCGAAAAACGTTCGATTCCTCTTCAGTTTTATATACAATATGAAAAATTTACTGATATGTGTACATCAACTCACCTTGATATGCCTGTTTAAGTAACCTGCAACAGATTACATCAAAGTTCGAATTGCACTAAAGCCTTGCAGCACTTTACAACTCGCAAAAACTTGTACATCAACAATTTTTTCAATAAAAACTTTCCTTTTCAATGGATAATGATGTACTCGTGCTGTGGAGTAAGGGGATGCATAGTATCACAGTTGGCACGTGGATGCTAGCTACCACTACTGCTTACAGGCAGTGAATGTGGAGCTCCCATCGATGTAGGTGGAGCAGTCAATGGTCCTACGAGAGTAATTATTGTAATAATTGTTGTTAATAATTCCTAATGAAAAGGCATTTAATAATTACCAGTCACGTTAGGTGAAGGTTCGGAAACAGGTAATGGACTAACCAGACTGTTAGCACTCATTGGCGTTGAATTAGCTTTCAATTTTTGCCTAACCTCTCTGATTTTCAATTGCAAACTTGTCTTATTAGGAAATATATCCGAATGTTTAGCTTGAAAAGCTGTGGTTGCTTGCGTCGAAGGAAAGTAACCATTTTCTTGAAATAATTGCATCACAAGAAGTCGACGTTGTTCTAACACTTTCCTATGGCCGCGTTCATTTTCACTTCTACCAATTCCGACCGAGTTTACAGCACCTCCTCCAGGTGTCTTTGGTGTTCGAGGAGAATTAGCGTCGACGTCTCCTACTAGATCGCTGTTAGCCCTATACATATCAGCGTTAAAATCTGGACCAAAGAATGTATTACCCGTCAACTTGACACTGGAAGTTGATTTTGGAGTAGCGGACACTGACACATCTGACTCAATATCGTCCTCATTCACTGTTGAAAACACAATATTTTTATTATAATAAATAAATTTGAGAGGTGAGATATTTGTTATAACATTATCAAACTAATTACTTGTAGGCCTATGAGGTCCTTGCACAGACTTCTTTCGGTAATTTTGCATTTGCATCGACGATTGTAAATTTGACGAATGTAAGCCTGACGTCACTACTGAACCGTGACCAGATGAACCTGCGGTATTGATACTGATTGCACTTGGACTTTGTATATCCTCTGGTTTGAATTCCGGTAAGGACGAGAATTTTTCTTGAAAATTGACTTGCTCGAGAACTCTAGAATAATTTATTTAATGAAGACATTGTGAATCGTTGAAATACTCGGAAATTTGAAACCATTTTCGAATACCTGTCCATTCCATCTTCAACGTTTTTCTTAAAGAAGGATCCTTTCTTTGTAGACGGTGACGGCGAAGCATGAGATTCTGAGAAATTTTGTTGTTGCTGCATCTGTTCTGTGGCTTGTGATGTATTCGTTTGAGTACGATTGTCACAATGCTGAGACGTCAAAGGCCCATGGTCTCCTGCATTCGATGTGGGAGGCATTGCTATAAAAACACGAGACATTTAACAATTTTACTTCTTTAAATTAATTGAACACGATGATTACTTTTCATACGAAGAATGGAAAATAATTGAAGTTAACCATTAAGAAAATATTATAAAGTCATACCCATTGATTGTCTCCTTTGTAATGGTGCTCGACCAAGTTGTGCCGGAGTTGGGGCTAACATGAAAGGACCTTTAGTTGGACCTATATCATTATTTTGGGCTTCATCCATGGAATACGATTTATTTGTTGAGACGTCAGTGCTGCCGTGATTATTGAGTGGCGTATGAGGAGTATGCGGAGTAGAAGGCTGCTTATGTTTATCATTCGTAACAGGCAGGAGAATGCTCATTGTATCTTTTCTATCTTGCTCACATTTAATATTAGTTACTGTAATCAAAACAGATTGATCTCCACATTTGTTAAAATGTGTCTACGCTTTGAAAAATCAGAATTATTTCGAACACCTAACATGCTATTTGTTAATTATTTAATGCATTCTGTATATCTTACCATAAAACTGAGCGTGATTGTTTCCTACTTGATTCTCATTTTTCTCGGGTTCTGCAAGACGTGCTATGGGGTGACCAATTCCCCGGTAAGTCGACGTTGTAGAAGTTGTCGAAACCGAGTAAGGTTTACTCACAATAACACTTTGGGTTTCCAACTTATTACCAGAAACTAAACCTTGTGCAGGTATGTTGCGGTTGCCAGCATCTACGATAAACAATATTTATTCACTTGTATTGCCTGAAGCTTGTAGTAGGGTGGACATTACAGATATACTAATTTTTGATCAAGCTTTGATACTAAATGAATCGGACACGGAATATTAAGAAAAAATAAATAATATCATAACATAATATTAATTCTAAAATGGTTATTCATTGAATGAACTTACCAGAAATTGGGATGTGAAAGCCACAGTACATCCGGGGATGCGGGGGTGTTGGACCAAGGTACTGCGATCCCTGCTGCGGTTTGGAAACAGCCACCAAATCGTTATCGAGCAATGTTAGAGTGAACGATGGTTGATAAGGGACAGCTGAAGTAAGGGGGCGAAGAATAGTGCCTAAGGACTGCAACGGCTGCTGTTGTTTAAACAGAGCCATCATGGATTTTGATCCACACTGTCAATATCGTTAAATTTTTAACTTAATTTTTGAGTTTATTCGCATGTGTTTACATTTAAATCTTCCGAAGTGCAAGAGTCCATTGCTCCCTCAATTCAGGTTTCAATATTAAAAATAGAAAAATAAACAAATAGAAATAAATATAAAATTGAATAATATTGTAGGAATATAAGTAGGCACGTGCGAATAGCACTCGGATTGCACTAATCGACAGTATAGTAACTATTCATACCTTATTCTCAGACATTTGAATGAATATAGAATTCATAAGTATTCACACATGCCCGAATGAAAAGAAAGAACAAAACACTGCTACATTATACATCTCAACCTCGTCTGGGGTATATTAGGTATGTATGTTACTAACACATATGTTTGATTATTTATAATTGTAGAACACTTACAGAATGTAATACCGGAGCAGCTGTAAATTTAGGCATGTTTCTTCCATTTTCATGAATGCTTGCTACTAAATTGCTCATGCTGTATTGTGTGCTGTATTGTTGTTCGGTTTTCACTGGTTCCGGTTTAATAACTTTTGGAGATATCGGCATGGTTATGAATGCTCCACCAGTGGGTTGAAAACCTGACACTCCAGTCGGATTGACAGGACTGTGGTAAGGGTACGTGCTCGACAAAACTGAGACAGCTCCTCCCTTGTCCATAGGAGTGTGATGATATTTTGTCGTAGTTTCTATACCTGTTGAAGGTATTCGTGCTAGACAAACGGAGAAATTGCCTTTACCATAGAATACTACGTCACTAAACATTATAATTTTGAATCGAATGTAAATACCTTTTATAGGTTTAGGCCTGCAGGTGACTTCTTGTTTTACGGTTATTTCCCTCTTTTGGCCACTTACAGGCGAAAACCGTGGTTGCGCGTACTTTTTTTCGCCATCCTCGTCTTGTACATCATTATCGCTATCTGTTAATTTATCTTTGCACTTCAAATCTATTTCAGGCTGTGGATCTTCACAGATTACCATTTGATCTTCGTCTGATGCATTACCGTCTTCCTCCTGCTTTAGATCAGGTTCTGGATCTTCGACTGGGACAGCAATTTCCATTATCCGATGTGTGTGTGACTGATTAATAATCTGAATAAAAAGAAATAATTTAACGTAACAAATTGTAATTAAAATTGTTCGCTTTATCAGTGATCCAAATAATTTATACCTCAACGGTGGGAACTTCATTATATACTGTCGTAACGGGAACAGTGATTTCATCTGTAGCTCTTGGCGTTAATGGTACGTCGTCTGTTGGTGGTCCCATATCCGTTTCTTCTCCAGTACTGTTCAATTTCCCTCGAGATTCGCTACCTTTGAAACTTGTTGTCGAAGATTTCCGTCTATCTTTGCTACACCATTTCCAATCCGGATGTGCTTTAAAATGCGCTTCTTTCACCTCTGACGCAAGATCATGATATTTTTGCTTTTCTTCTGGACCTAAAGCATACCACCACTCTCCCAATATCTTGGATACGGTGCGATTATCCTGATTCGGATGTCTCTGATGTACCACTGCGCGATGCCGTTTTGAGAAAATCATAAATGCATTCATCGGTCGGCGTATTCTATCTTTATTCTGTGAAATTGTATAACAAAATGAAATTTTTAGCATTAATTTCGATACAATGTATAAGAATAAACTTAGTGAAATATAAGTTTTCGTAAGTAATAATGTTAACTTACTTTTAGTGGACTTTGAGGCTCTTTGGAATGCAACGCACTAAGGGACTGACTGCGTCTCTTATTGGCATTAGCCTCAACTTCTGCAGGTGTTGTTGGTTCTGCTTCAAAGACATCGTCATCTTCTTCCTCGGCGGGGGTAATAGGATCTGGACCCGGACCAGGTCCATCTTCACCAGGTGTGCTCATACTTATTGGAATTGGAGGTGCGCTCAAAGGTGGACTTAATGCAGATGGTGGAGGACTGACTTCTGTTTGTTCCAATACTGTCGTCTGCCAGGAAAAAGCTGCAATGAAATGTGTGCGTTAGTAGAGATGACCGTCGTTAGTAATGATATGGAAATATCAAGAAATAATATAATGTTATTACAATTTATTAGTAATCCACTAAAATGTAATATAATCAAAATGACCCCTCCCCAACATTACATGCAATTGTATGTACTATTGATGATACATTTTACAACAAATATGAAAACATCCGTACATTTTGTTTGGCAATGAGAACTCAAACCTTTTTTCCAGTTGCGCACTGCATTGTTCAGTAATGATGGGGGATGGGGCTGGTATACAGGAGGAACATCGTGGCTGCCATCTGTGAAAGTCTCGCCGTTTAGTCAAATTCACTAACATTACGATGGCATTAATGCAAAATGGTAGGTATTCTTCTATAATGCTTTACACTAAAGTAGACTTTCATGTCGATAGATTAAAATAAACAATTTTTTGCATTAATTAAAATACAATATATATTTCAAACTTACACAGAACACCATTGTTTTTTGAATTTTCTTCCCTGGTTGGTTGAGTTTTTGGGATCTGTACCAAATGTCCAGGTTGAACGATTACGTGCTGGAAGACGCTTGTTGGAGTAGGTGGATTCGAAGCTTCTGTGGTAGTTGTCATTACAACGCTAGTAGGCGGTGGTTGACTTCTTTGCATATCCATATGTGTGGACACATGCGTGGCTACTTTACTTGCCTGGTAATAACATTGCATTGTTACTATTTTTTTTTTTTTGCATCAGTTTACGCTGTTTAAGGAACTATCTTTGAGACGACACGAAAGCTGTAAGTTTATTATATAAAATTGCTTACTTGCTGCAGTACCGACAATTTATCAATATGGACGGATGAAACAGCAGGTGACTGTGGAGGTTGACATTGCGCTTGATGTAACGACGGTGGAAGTTGACCCAAGTGATTAATTAATCCTGATCTATATTTATCATCCTGATTAGTTATGTGGCCTGTTGTAGCTACGTCCATACTATTTTTTATCACAAGATACTTTTTTTCGTGCTGGTGTTGCATCACGTAAATTGGCTGGTTTTGTGGTTGCGGTGCATAATCAACCGGTTGTTCCAGCGGTTTATGCAAAAGAGTTAAGTTTTGTGGTGTCGGCGCAGACAGTGGGATGTGAGGCGAGTGAGACTGTTTCAATATTTGCGAATTTTGCTCCGAAATTTCCGAGTGATTGGGAAAACTATTGTTTGTCGTCAGTGCATGTTGAAGAATTATGCCTTGTTGTTGTTGTTGAGCCATAGTCGTCACAACCGAGGGGTGTCGCGGCGGTGGGCTTTGCTCCGACCATGACAAAGTTAAATTGGGTCCAGGCATTCCACGGCTTACGGGAGAGATTCGTATCACACTTGTTCCTATACTAGCAGGGACAGGGGCCGTTGGAGCTGGTCGATTTGACCTAACCACTCGATTAGGTTCAGGTTTTATCACTTGTTGTTGATACTGAGTAAGAAACGTGGATTGAGTAGGTGAATGCTTCCATTTCGCGCCAGGCGAAATCAATGGAGGTGCGTGATGAGCAGGACTTGAAATAGGCATAAAGACATTGTTTTGATTAAGACCCAGTGGCGGTACTGGAGACTGATTGATGCATGGGGATATCGAAGATTGTCCTGTTGGCGATGAAAAAGCTGGCGTTGCGGATCTAGAACTTCCTAAGGACACTATCATAAAAATATAACGCAATCGTTAGTAATTTACATGTTTAGTATATAAATCGTTACGAATAGGAGACCCACCGAGCATATTAGCAGCTTCAGTTTCATCTTGATCAAATCGACCAGCAATTCTTCTATCTCCATAATTTGGAGAAGTGTCGGAGTCTCTCGATGTTTCTTCCCCGTCCATCCTACCACTGCGGGAAAGCATTTCGTAATGTATGCAACTTTCGTTAACGGTTTTTTATTTTTTTTTAAATTCGAATAATCTCTTACCCAGGAAACGTATTTGTTGGACCCCTAAGACCAGATCCTTTCAAACTAAGATGACGAGAACAATATCCCCTTCGTTGGCTTTCTTTGGAACATCCCTCTTTGCTACAGAGTCGACGCCACTGTTTACCATTGAACTTTTTTCTAACTCCACTTGGTGTAGCCACTACATCACCTTTTTTATATCTATGTGGCGTTGCCGCCTGAGATCTATTCGACGTGCAATGAGAAATTCATGCATCTATAGTATTTTTTTTTGCTTATCATAACCAAGTTAATGTTATATATATATATATATAAATCGTTAGCAATGATACCTGGGCGTGGCTGCTTGAGAGCGAGGAGTTATACTGCGTTGTTCAACTAGACTACTGGTACTTCCTCGACTTTGCATACTGCTCCTTTTACTGCTCCCTGACAATTTTGCATCTGTGAGTTCAATATATTACAATTACTGTATAATATAATACTCTTGCATTTTTTCTCGAGGATTCGATTTTTTTTCGTTAAACGTATTCACTAAACAAGTTTTGATATTTTGAATGTACACAATAGAATTTCATCTAACCTGCATCCGAAGGGAATGTAATGTCTTCCCTATCTAAGTCATCTTCGCTTTCTAAATCATCGTACGGTCGATTTCCATTACTTAATGCTATGCTGGCAGAATGTGCAGAAGTGCCTAAAGTCATGAGAGGACTAGTACCAGTCGTTCTGTAATAACCACTTGTGTCACTATGAGTTGATATATGAGATGTATGGTGAGAAGTGTGATGGAGTTGCAAAATTGGCACTGCTGTTGGAGCTTCCGAAGAATTTCGATAGCCATGTTCTGGAACTGAAACAACGTTGTCTTCAATTCAACATGAGTATATCTCAACCCTTTGATGGCGAATATATAGGTCGATCGAGTTCCATCCGCTACCAAAGGGTTAACAGAAGTCGTCAATTACTAGTTTATTATGTACAGAAGCCATACCAATTCCTTCAACCCTTGAAGAATCACAGTCTTCCAATCCCTCCTCTAGCTCGTCCCACCAGGGAGGTTGCACTAATCGTAGATCCGCGCGTTTCACAACATAACTGTCACTCTGATCATCTTCCCTTGGTATTTTAACAACAAAACGCTTAGGCTTCGTTAAAATCTTGCACACCGTCCCTTTTACAAACACTTTAGCCGCGTCGATGTGATTGTTCGACGTTGGACATCTGATACAAACTTTTGCATCTAAAGTCACTTGGCCCACGGACGGGCTTGCATCCCCTATAACGTCGTACCTCCCCGTACCCAAAACGTCAGTGTAACGCACTAGTTTTCTTTCACCGTCGAATTCTATGTAAATCTCTCCTTGAACAACGTTACGAATAACACCCGGATAATAATATGAATCCCTTAAAGCTAACACTCTGTGGTCGCGCCACTCACTGAGATCAATAGCAACAGTAGCAGGCCGAGGACGTGAACGTAAAGGTTCTTCTCGAAGAGAATAATCCACTGCTGTACTTTGGGGTGGTAGAACAACCACCGAATGTCCTGAAGATATCTAAAAAACAAAAAAAAAATATTTCTATCAAAATTAATACCCATGAACGTTGAAAATGGTACTCTTGCATTTTTATGTTATAGTTAGTGATGATAGTTAGATGATAAATTCTAAGCGTTGCTTCAACTAATTCAGTCAAGACGTAATAAATCGCATTATTGCTAGCATTCATCTATAACATTCTTATATACTTTTCACGGTTCAAGAGTATATCGATAAGAAACTGTACCCTCGGAGAAAAACGGTTCAAGTTAGACACCGCGACGACACGCGACGATTTTATCTGTCAAGTGTGCATACTTTAGCAAAGTTAGTTATTGAAATTCAGTGATTACTTTAGTCGCATCACGTCCTTCATTAAATGCAAATACGGATATATAAAAAAAAAAAAAAAAAAATAGTCTGAGTCATTTGTACGTTAAACTTTTAAGTAAACGCTTTTCGTTTCGGTTGTTTAAATATTTCGATCTAACAGTGTTCTCGATACATTTTTTTAATAGTTCTAACGAACCGTTTTCCAAAACACTACAGTAAACTGCATTTGCTAAGAAACTTGGTCCAATAATTACGTTATCGATGATGCCACGGCAAACGTTTAGAGACCATCGATACTGAAACGCTACCGCCTCCCATCCAATGAGGGTTTCCAGAAGACCAATAATGCAAATTGCGTCTGTTAACGTCAGCGATGTTGGTAAATACATTTGTCATGATAACAGTCTTGACGAGCTTTAAAACGTTACAACAATGTTGATAATTGTTGTAAATAGGCCTTGAATACTTACATACGCTGCATTAATGATTATTACTTTGTAGCGCCGCATGTAAATTTCTTCAGCAAAATTGTTATTCACTTTTTATACTTTAAATATGAAATATAAGAGGTACGGCAAAAACGGGGACTATTTAAAAGTCCATAAATGCACAATGTCGAGAGAATGCCTATAAAATTGATTTTCCCTATTGTTTACTTCAGGAAGTAGATCGGTTTGGCTTCTGAGAGATTCGCCCGTCGGTAATCTAATTTCTGACATAGCTAATCTTTTGTTAATTCCTACCCACGCGACACTTTCGTCTATGTACACTTACACGGATGCTCTGTGCATATTTATGAACGTGAAAATTACTAAGTGCACGAGGTAAACAAAAAAAAACGCAAACAGGCACGTTACATGTTGCATATTTCTGTTACGATAAATTGATGAAAATTAATTGAAATAAAGCAACACCGGCGCGACAGATAATGCGAATCAGTTGAAGAGAGCCAAACGTTCCCGCTAAGTCTTTCTCATGAATACTTGCACGTACTTGATAACAATCGGATTCTTGCTGTTGTGGTGATTGCCGAGTTGCTAAGGTTGACTGCTGGACTAAACCTGATTGACCGAGTGGCATATTCGGCGCCCGTATGTTCACCATATTGTTTATATTGCTTGTTACATTGCTGATTTTGTCCATCTCCTCGAGCTCCGACGGATCGAACTTTCGTTTCTTTGGAAGTTTCTTAGCGCTGATCGTTGGATCGGATGGATCCCGCTGGGGAGGCGCCGGCGGCGGGGGTGGTTGTTCCAGAATAGATTTTTCTTCAATCGAACTGCCGCCACCACCCCCGCCTGCTCCATATTGTCCACCTCCAAGGGGCTCCCGTTTTTCGTGCATCTCAGAATGAGCAGTCAGCATTTTGGCCACCTCACGCTGCTCTGTAAATTAAACATTCACCGTTCAATTACGCAATTTGTTAACCGTTTGAAAGTGTCTACGGTAGCAGCCAAGACGGAGCCGGGTCATATCGGACCCAGGTTAAAATTTATCTATTCCAAGGATCATTGAAGCATTAGTTAAAATATTCTTTTACGTGTACATATATATTTATTTACTATATGTTATGTATGTATAATATGTATAGCAAAGAAATATGTACAAAAATGTGATACAAAGGTTTACAACTTTGGCAATCTCATAATTGTTTTAAAATAAAATTTGATAAAGATATTTCAAAGATCTGAAACGTCAAGAATATAAAAGATAATCAATTTTTTGAAGGAGAAGAAAGGGCGGTAGTTCGTTGAAGTGTATCAGGATATGTACTCACAGTCTGTACAGTCGAGAGGAGGCTGTGTGCTGAAATGTGGCGAGTTGAAGCTGGGAGGGTGGTGACACCGGCTGGGTGCATACCTCAGCACCCGACTGTCGGGGACAGGATGCGTCGAGTCTGGGCTCTCACGTCTTTGTCTATCTTGCGACGGGGTTGCTGTTCCCTCTCCCAACTCCAATTCTTCTTCCCAGCCCCAACTGCCGAGCATCCTCCTCCGAAAATTCACCTCTTAGACGGACACTTTTCTCTTCTTTCTTAATTGCCCTGTACCTCTAGTCAATGTCCTGCAACAACAAAACGTGTTTCGAAACGGTTATATACCAGGGTTCTGCGAATACGATTCTCTCACGAGCAACCTCGTTTATTGCACGACGGTTCTAAACGGGATTCTTTTGTCCCAAGATGCAACAAATTTTACCATGGATTTCTTCTATCGACGAGTGCGTGATAACCGTGACTGATCGATCGAAGAGTTTGATCTTATTTGAATATTTAATTAGACGATTTCGTGGTAATTATCCCTTTATTTCAATTTGTTATTGACTTCGCGCGTTATCTTTCGATCGCGTTCAGATGAAACTATTGTAATTTTTCTAAAGAAATTTCGAGGGAAGGGGTAAATTAATTATTCACGACGGATCAGGTTGTCCGAAAAGTTTCTTTCGTTTTATTAATAAGTGATACATACACAATATTTTATGTCTAATGTTACATTATCGAATTGTGTACGATTCATTTTGCTCCATTACTGTTACACCATCAACATCTAAGAAATTAGATTGTCTATTTATATAAACGCTACCGCACAAAATAATTGAGTGCAAATTACGAAAGAAACCTTTGGGACAACCTAATAATTTATACTCTTAATTGTGCCGTTATCAGTTCTCCATGGTTTCGCCAGAAAATACAACATTGATATTTTTCTCACGGTAATATATTATTAAAGTTGGTGTTTTTTCTTTGTATGGAATGCATTGAAAATAATTGTCAATGTATATAGGACGGAGGGTTGGAACTTTGCAATATTACCGCTCCAACACACTTCATCCATCGGTAATGATGGAATAATTGAGCTCTGTCGATATAACAATAAATTGAAAATAAATGTAACCGTCGATTTAGTAGTATACACTCGTGTTTATTATTAATCGATACAGTGTTTAAATATAGAAAAGCAATAACTGGTCCACTTCAAATAGAAATGCAATATAAAATTTTTAATAGCCTGAACGACAGACCGAATAAGAACGCGTAACCGCCAAGTATTTAATTTGTATAATCAGATTTTACGCATGCTGTTACAAAATGGTCGCGAAGCTTATGAAACAACTGTTGATTGCATTCTTGGTGAATGTTTCTTTTCAAACTCTTTCACGCGTAAATACAAAAATGGTGGCGAAACAAGCAACGCATGGAAAAAGAGATTACAGGTGATGCGATAATTTAATACGAAACATTTTTACCGATCCTTAAAATTTAGAGAAACTACTGTAATTTATAAGAATTTAATTGAGATTTGATTATTTTCGACGATGCATTTTAGTCAATGCACCTATTTTTATAAGTATATTACACTCACATTTGCGGAGCAAGGTTTCCAAGTATGCATACGAATGAAAATAGAACCAGGAACTAGCTAAAAGATGAAAATCTGAATAATATTATGCAACAGAGTACAACTTCATTAAGACTAATTGTTAACGAGTTTGTATCTAAGATCCAATGTCAGTCTTCACATGCTTTTTCAATCTTAGGAAGTTAATAGAAGGTAGATAGGAATTCGGATAATATTACTTTTTCTACATAGCTCCATAATTTTTTTTTAATTGGACGGTACTCTTGTACACGGTACTCTCTTCGATACCCAATTTTGCAATAACTTGTGAAAGATTTGAAAAAGAATGGTTTAACTAAAAACGCGATCAACAGTTGCTTCACGTAACTCCTTACATTTTAAATATCTTTAAATTGTCCTCTATTTGGCATGAACACACCGATGAATCTTAATACAAAATTGTTTTTCTGTAATTACAATAATATACACACACGAACGTGTAGAAAATTTCAACAAATTTCATCGAACCGTTTGCTCGTAATAAATTCGCGAATAAAGTCTTGTTTCCAGCGTTTTACGCGAGTCTCCCCCCTTGACGCGACGACACGCGAAAGAATATTCTGAATCGAGCATTCACAGCGCACAAGAGTAAAGAAGCCAACGAACCTCGCGCGTTAGCGGTTTAGGAAACTGGCCGATAATTGCGCAAACAGAATCGATATACAGCTCCCGCTCGAACACACCACGGTATTTGCATTTTTACACCACTCGCTTGCTCGCTCGACTCGCTCGACGATTCGATTCCGTTTTCGGGAGTAAAAATCACAAAGAACGAAACGCGTCGAATATCTCGCGTGTCGAATATCACCTCGACCTTCGGGCTGACAGGAATGGTCTCTGGTGAGAGAGTGAGAGAGAGAGAGAGAGAGAGAGAGAGAAAAAATAAAAAAGAAAGAGAGGAACAGCGCACAACCTACTCGTGTGTACACAATTCCGCGATTCACGCGTGTGCTTCGCCGTAACGAGGAGCGCGAGAGAAGATTGGCACGCGCGACATAACCTATTCAAGAAATCGCCGCCGCGTTTCTTTCTTCAAAGCCGCGGAGAAAAACGATTGCGCTTTGAGCCGGCTCTTACTTCCGTGCCAGTACCGACGAAGATTCCAGGGGCGACTAACGAGTAGTCAACAGGCACTTAGTTGCCGCCGTTGCCGCCGCCGACGCCGCCACCGACACGAATTAAAGCTCAATTCCCACCGGCGCGACAACAACACGACACGCTCAATCCATGATCACGCTCAACGAGAAATATTCTACCGTTGTAAATATTGTAAATAATGATTACAAATTACTGATTCACGATTGCAGATTACGAATATGGTTTATGGTCCAATGCGACAATTGCGACGGATTATTGCACGAATGATAATTAACAATGTAACAACTATCCGGCAATGACAACCAATATTTTTGATTATTATATTACATAATAATTATTATTAGAAATCTCAAAGATTTCTCTGTGAAATGAATTGTAAAAATGACCGGATGTACTTTTTAACCCTTTCGACCAAACTTTCTTCTATTTCTATACCATTCGTTATCTTTTAGAAATTAATTGCACATGTTCCTGTTCTAAAAGGACAGTATCTGACCTAAATCTCAACCTGATGATCATTGAAATATATCTACACGAACTTTAATAGCCATCGAATTTCACAATTCAGTGGACAATATTCAGTAATGTAACATAAAACATAAACTATTGTGCATGTATTACTTATTAATAAAGCGAAAGAAACTTTTGGAACAACCTAATAATTGGAGACCAGGTCGAGAACCTAGAAGGTTGGCAATTTACCATGTACTAACAAAATGACCGATATAAAAGTACAGAATTAATTTCTCCACCCAATAATTCGCGTAATAAACTCGATGAACTGGACCTGCCTGCACCATTGTTTTACAATTATACGCGAACATCCATACAAATAGAGGATCCATAAGAGGAGGCGCGCTGGCCGTGTTCGCTACGTCTTGAATTTGACGCGAGCGTCACTCGAGATGAGCGTCACTTGAGCGTCCCTTGAGCACTAGTGGAAATCAAGCTTTACGGTACGGAGAGAAGTACGAACGCGCACACGGCTAACGAAGAAGGCACACGCACGGCGGAGACGCGCTCGCGAAAAGAAACAAGCGAACGGGAGGCGAGAACTCGATAGGAAAGTTTCGAGGTGAGGTGAGGTGAGACAAGGTCGATCCTCCTTGTGCATCGATTGGAAATCACGCACAGCGCAGTACCGAGCCATGCGTGTCTACTACCCCACAGTGTTTGGCCAAATGTAATTCACAATCACGATGACAGAGTACGCACGAACGTTCAAGAATAATCCCGACACGCTCAGCTGCGAAAGACTAATAACGCAATTTACGATCCACCCTTGATTTGGCAAAATGCGAGCGATGGTTACGAAAGTAACCACTACTTTTAGACGAGCGAACCTTTTTCCGATCGAAACAATAAAGCGTTACATCGATGAGCGGGCAACCCTGTCGTCGACAATCGCGATTATCAAATAATCAGACTCGATTAACTTGGAGTGATTGCAAGTAACTGATTCGTGGTCGCAGATTACGAAAGTAATCGCAAAATAATCACTGCTGGACACGATCAGCTAACCTGACCGCGTCTCGCGAGTTTCTGTGTACGGAAAGGGGGGAAAAAAGAGCGACGAGTAGGAAATGCGAAACGGGAGGAAAGATAAAGAGAGTGCGAGGCGCTAAATTGGTCGCGGAAGGAGGAGAGAAGTTGCGTGCATCGCGTTCTTATCTTGCGTTCGAGAAAGCGAGACGGTAATGGCGAAGGGGAAGAACGTCAGAAGGGAGACGAGGGAGGGCCAGAGAGGAAGAGAAAGAGAGAAGAGATGTTACCGTGCTTCTCCACATCCTATACAGGGTGTCCCAAAAATGTTGTAACACGTTGAAAGGGGTGGTTGGGGAGGTGATTTGAAACAACTTTTTCCTTAGCGAAAATGTTGTCCGAGGCTTCGTTGAGGAGATATTAACGGAAAACGTCGACCAATCAGAGCGCGCGGATACCGGTGGAGCGGCCGCGGTAGCGAAGGCTACGAACTAAGCGGCCGCGTCAATGGCCTTCGATGCACGTTGAGTCGCTTGTTCGCGTACAAGCGCGCCCGCTTAGCTCGTAGCCTTCGCTACCGCGGCCGCTCCACCGGTATCCGCGCGCTCTGATTGGTCGACGTTTTCCGTTAATATCTCCTCAACGAAGCCTCGGACAACATTTTCGCTAAGGAAAAAGTTGTTTCAAATCACCTCCCCAACCACCCCTTTCAACGTGTTACAACATTTTTGGGACACCCTGTATACCACCTTCCACGCGATCGCTGCACTGACACTGAGAGAGGCCCGAGTCCGAGTTCGCCCCGTGGCCAGGGTTTCGCGGAGGAAAACAACGCTCTGGTGATCGGGCCGTAGTGTGAGTAAAGGACTAAGGGGGAATGCACTAACCTCGCTACTCCCTACCACGAGGCTGACTCACGTTGCTTGGCTTGCCTGCTCCGAAAGACTCTCCGCCATTGTGTCGTGTCGGTCGGTCGCGCCTCTCACTCCCTCTCGCTTACTCATCTCTCGTCTCGTTCGCGGGTACGGTTTGGTCGCGCGTTTACAGGTAACGCGAGGGTGGCCGAATGTCTACATGTGTACCGGG